CACTATGAAGTATGTATTATCATCATTTTATAGATGAGAAAATCAAGATACTGTGAAATGAAGTGATTTGCCACACTAATATAATAATAATTCTATCATTCTAAATAATAGAATGATTCCAGGGGTGTGCCAAATTCAGTGATGAGCAGGGAGGGAACTTGTCGAGACTAATGGGATTGTTTGGGAGGAGATATACTGCTATACACACAGCCAGCTGGGTCAACCCAGTTCCTACTCGTGGGCCATGTGGTGAGCAATTAGCAGTGTCTACCACCAAGTGTGGCTGGTTGAATTAGAAAAGTAAGCCAGTGACCCCAGTTGGAGGGTAACACCCACTTGAATGAGGAAAGCCCCTTTACCCAGGTGACTGTCAAAACCTACTGGCAGCACTGTCTATCTATCCCTCACCAACTCTTGGAGTCAAGCTGTGTATCCTGTCTCTTTACAAGCAGGCAGACATATAAAATATTTACAAACAGTCTTACGGAGAATTGCATATTTTTGTACTCAACAAAATAGACACCAACATTTGAGAAAGTTAATACTATGAAAGAGATGCACCCAAGTGAGCAAAACAAAGACTTTACACTGGCGGAAACAGAGCAGTCTGTAAAGATAGAAATAATAGTGCCAATCTGAGAAAGTTAATACTATGAAAGAGATGCACCCAAGTGAGCAAAACAAAGACTTTACACTGGCAGAAACAGAGCAGTCTGTAAAGATAGAAATAATAGTGCCAATCTGTGGTTAATAAGGAGATGTTATCAGTGTTTACATGTAAATTGCATAGCACAGTGCTTGGAACATAGTAAGTGCTCAATAAATATTAATATAAACAAAAGAAAAGGACTCCATAATTTACATTGGCACAATTACAGGATATTGCATCCATGCAAAGGAAACAGTGAAAGATTTTGGAATCTAAAAATATAATTGTTACAATAAAAAAGCTCATTAGTTAGGATAGAGTAGATGCTGTGGAAGATTTAATGCTTTGACCATTATCGAATGCAGCAAATAAAAATAGTACAAGCATATATAATATTTTAATAACACAACTATCACGTTTAATCAGTCACAAAATCTACATTTTTCCCCCAGATATCTATGACTAGAAATTAAGGCACATGGGAAATTTCATTACTACATTGTTGTAGATAAAAAAAAGTTTGCTGATATTAATCAGTGTGTAGAATCAACAAGGAGTTCTTCCAAGGGAAAAGAATGAGAAACTTGTATACAATGGAATATTATTCAGCAGTAAATGGAATGATATACCACTGCACACTCATTAGAGTGGCTGTAATTTTTAAAAGCTAGTGTTAATGAGGAGGTTAAGAAATTGGAACCCTGATATTATTCAGCAGTAAATGGAATGATATACCACTGCACACTCATTAGAGTGGCTGTAATTTTAAAAAGCTAGTGTTAATGAGGAGGTTAAGAAATTGGAACCCTGGGCTGGCCCGGTGGTGCACTCTGTTGAGTGCGGCGATCCCGCTGAGGGTTCGGATCCCATATAGAGACCAGTCCACTAACTGGCTGAGCGCGGTGCGGGCGCAACACCGAGGGTTGCAATCCCGTTGCCGGTCGCGGTAACCGGGCGCAACACCGAGGGTTGCGATCCCGTTACCGGTCACGAAAAAAGACAAAAAGGAGGAAAAAAAAAGAAAAAAAGAAATTGGAACCCTAATACATTAACCTTGGGGGTATGAAAAGATACAGTCACTATGGATATAAACTTGGTAGAGCCTCAAAATTAAATAGTTACAAAGATCCAACAATACCACTCCTAAGCATATACGCAAGAGAATTAAAAACATGTTTACACAAAAACTTGTACATGAATGTTCATAGCAGTATTATTCATAATAACCAAATGGTAGAAACAAAACAAATGTCAGTCATAAGAAGGAATGAAATACTATTACATGCTACAACATGGATGAACCTTGAAAACATTATACTAAGTGAAAACAAACACAAAAGGCCACATATTATATGATTCCATTCATATGAAATGTCCAAAATCAGCAAATCCAGAGACACAGGTACCTTAGTAGTTGGCAAAGGATATGGGGAGGGGAGCATTGAGGCTGACTGTTAATAGGTACAGGATTTCTTTTTGGGATGATGGAAATATTCTGGAATTAGTGGTGATGATTGTACAACATAGTAAATATACTAAAGTACACTGAATCATATTTTTAGATGGTGAGTTTTGCGGTGTGTAAAATATATCTCAATAAAAAATGCTATATAAAAAATAATGCTGGGTCTATGGCCATATGCATTTTATATTTTGATATATACTGCCAAACTGTCCTCCACTGAGATGGTGCAATTTATGCTCTCACAAGCTATGTATGAGGGTGCCTTTGTTCTCATTCTTGCTATTGTGGTATGTCATCAAAGGTTTAGTCTTTACCAATGTTATTGTTGAAAAATAATAACCTAATGTAGGTTACTTTTGTATATCTCTAATTATAATAAAGATCGAATCTCTTTTCATATAATTCATTGCCATCTATATTTCCTTAACTGTGGACTTCTATTCTTATCCACTGCCTATTTTTCTATTAGTGTTGGTCTTTTTCTAATTGGTATGTAGAACTCCTTTATATGTTATCTTTTTTCCTAGTTTGTTTTTCTTTCAACTTAATAATAGATTTTTACTATGAATGCCATCATTACTATCCAGTAGTGCTTGTTATAGTATTGCTCCATTTTCATTGCTTAAGCCAAGAACATAAGTCCTGTTTCACTGACATCACTGATGTGGACTATTAAGTTTCTCAGTGCCTACCATTGCACTTCTTTTATGCTATGTCAGCTTCACATATCTATTTGTGTATGTAAATGTGTTTGTATTTCTTATATCAGAATATTTTGAAGGGGAACTGAATAAGGAAGGCAGGCTTTGGATTGATTAATTGCTGCCAAATTTTGATTTTAGACAGTCATTAAAGTGAATGTAATTTATGATTTTAATTAGAAAATATGAAGAACAAAATCACTAGACTAATTGTTGGGTGGGAAGATGAATTAATGGGTGGAAAAATAGGGGAAACAAATGTGTTAAATAGAGCTGAAAACCAGGTATTGACAAAGGAACAGATACTCCCCACTCCCAACTGTTGAGTCATTCAGCAGGTTTAGTCAGTCCTTAAATAAATATTTTTAATACATTTTTTATGCCAAGCTCCGTGCTAGGTGCTGACTATCCAGTATTGAGTAAAACAGGTTTATCCCTGACCTCATGGAGTTTATAATCTAATGAAGGAGACAGGCAATAAAAAGGTTAAACATATTATAATTGAGAAAATATTATGAAGGAATTTAATGTTCCTTGCTTGTTTATAGAAAAAAACTGAGTAAATGAGAGCCACGTGGCATACTTTTGGTAGGGTAGTCAATAAAGGCCTTTCTGAGAAGGTAGAAGTTAAACTGAGACTTAAAGGTAATGAAGAGGAGCTAGCCATAGGAAAAGTAGGTTAAGGACATTCTCTGAAAGGGAAGCTTGAAATTGAGGGCCCTAAGATCACATCTTTGAGAAACAGAAAAGAGGCCATTATGGCTTCAACTCAGTAAGTCGAGGTGGAAGAGGTAAGAAGGGACCATTCAAGCCATAGTAAAGAATTTGGGTCTTGCACTGAGAAGTTATCAAGGTGTTAAACAAAGGAGTGACATTATCAGGTTTATGTTTAAAAGACTACTTTAGCTTCTGATGGAAGATGAAGAGGTAGATGGTAAGAAAAAAACTGGGAAAGCATTTAAGAAGCTGTGGCCAAAGCCTGGACCAGAGATAAGGATGGTAGCAGAGTAGATGAATACATTCTAGGCATAGTTTGTAGGTAGAATCAGCTGGATTTGGTGTATTGGATGTTGTCAGTAATGGAGAGGAAAGACTCATGGACTACTCTTAAGCATTTGTTATAAATATCTATGTGTTCTGTGTGGAATCAAACTTAGGTGGTGGGAGTTAGGGCTAAAAATAATGGTACATAAGCTTATATTTGTGTATTACTTTGAATGTACCACCACATCTAGTACCTCACTTTGGGTTCTTTAATTTTTTTTTAACTGAAACATGTTGGCAGTTGAAATATTTTCTGAATTCACTTATAATTTTCCAGAAATAGAGCCTACCCAGCGTTCAGCAGTATGGAGGGTGCTTAAAATTCTCACACATGAAAAAGCAGTCCTTCCCAGAAGTAGACATTATCTCTTAAGAATTGACAAGGTTTTGAGGGGAGTGGGGAGGGGGTTTATTTTTTAAAGAATAGGGTAGAAGTTATAAAATTTCTCTTAAGAATTGATTTTCAAGTTCTATAGTTAAAATTTTGTCTGAATGAGAGCTTAAATTATGGCCCAGCATTTTTTTTTTTTTTTTTGTGACCGGTAAGGGAATCGCAACCCTTGGCTTGGCGTAGTCCGCACCGTGCTCAGCCAGTGAGCGCACGGGCCATCCCTATATAGGATCCAAACCCGCTGCGGGAGCGCTGCTGGGCTCTCCCGAGTGCGCCACGGGGCCGGCCCTAGCCCAGCATTTTTTTAATGAAATGTGAAGAGAATTTGAAAATCTTGCCAGACTGTTATAAAATATAGTTGAATTAACAGAAATCACTTCAGACTGCTGTAATTATTGAGCATATTTACTTTCAAAACAGCAATTACACATTGCACAAGGGTATTTCAAAGAGTTTGTAGAAAGAAAGAAAAGAATCCTTCCATTAATTTTTTGAAGTGCTCATATAATTTGATGGGAAATTCAAGTCAAAATCTTAAAGCTACCACAATGCATTCAGTAATATCTAGCATAATTTTGTTATATTTTATATGAACAATATTGCCTATAATTTAATGATTTTTTTTCTACCTAGGCCTTTTCAGAAATGCATGTTTTAGCATTGATCTTCAGATGGAACAGATCTGCAAGAATCGTTATATTAGTTCCTCAGGAAAAAATAAATCGGTCTTTTTTTTTTTTTTTTTCCCAGAGGTGGCTGGATCCAAACAAACCAATAAGGAAGCAGCTAAAGAGTGAGCATACATATTTACTTGATGTTTTACAAGTATACTTTATAAAGATAAGCAGTTAATATAATCTGATTAATTAGAACTGCTTTTATTACTTTTAGGAGGATCTCCTTACAGTTTGAACTTCAGAGTCAAATTTTTTGTAAGTGACCCCAACAAGTTACAAGAAGAATATACAAGGTGGGTTTATGGAGCATATTTTTCTTGAAAATGTTGTCAAAACTCTATTATGAAATTAATTAGGCAAAAATACATACATTACAGTTGGCCCTCCATATCCATGGGTTCTGCATCCATGGATTCATTTTTTTTAAATGCATCTGTACTGAACATGTAAAGACATTTTTCTTGTCATTATTTCCTAACAGTACAACTATTTACATACCATTTACATTGTATGAGGTATTATAAGTACTCTAGAGATGATTTAAATTATATGGGAGGTTGTACATTGGTTACATGCCATTTTATATCAGACTTCAGCATCTGCTGATTTTGGTATCCGAGGGAGGTCCTGGAACCAGTTCTCCTTGGGTACCCCGTGACCATGCTGTAATTCTGAGCTTCCCAACTAGTGCACAGAATAAGTTGTAGATGTTCCATGGTAACTATTTCCTCCCCTTTTGGGTGACTGGGAGGGCTTTAGGGGATTAGAACCTCAGGGCTGCCCTGTCTGCAGTCTCCTGAGCCATATAAATATTGCATTTTTCTACTTGTGAACAGTAGTTAAGAAGCACTGCTGTAATTGAGATAATCAGATAATGCTGAAATTGTATCCAAGGGATGCTGTATAGTGCGAATTTTCCCTGGTTTATTTATTTATTTATTTATTAGTAAAACCATATTCTATGTATTTATTTCATTGAGAAGAACATAGCATTTATTATCATGTGCAGAAATAACAGTCAATAGGTACCTTTTTTCCCCTTCATATTTTTAATCTTTGGTTCTAAAGAAAGTATAATGGACTTTATAAAGGATGTTGCAGGGGGTACATTAGCATGTTCAGGCCTTTATGCCCACTTTACTGCCCATTTTAAGTCTGAGTTTGTTACTGTCTAATTTTGTTGTCACTTCTGCTTGAAAAAGTGTACACAAGAATGATCCAGATGAACATTTTGTTAATATTCTTGAATGTTAGGTGAAATGTTTAAGGTAGAAATAAAGAGAAAAAAACTGACAGCGTGGTAACTGTCATTATTTAACAATCAAAAAGATAACCCTGTGTGTTGCTTGAAAGATAGAATTATCAATTAGTTAAAAAAAAAAAGAAGAAAAAATTAGCATATTATATCTTGTGTAAAATTCTCTCATAGTATAGGTTGGCAGCTGTATTCAGAATTACTCCAAAAGATAGGTGCCAAATAAAAAGTCCATACCTAAAGCTACCTATAGACAGGATGTTAGACTTCAATTTATTGGTTATCATTTAGAATATTATGTTGAAATGGAGAAACAAAAGAATAAATTAAAGATATTTAGTTAGCTGCAGCTGCAGTGTTTGTAAAAATAGCATTTTTAATAGTAGACCAAGTCAGAAAAATTAGATTGATATTCTTGAGAGTCCTTTTCTGTGTGTTTGTTGGGGTGGGGGGTGGGGGGGCTGAATATTACTGGTTTTAGAATGGGAAATTATAATATATATTTATAATATACACCCTGGATTAGGCAGTCCTAATGTTTGCAATTAATAATAGAACCCAAACTAATTTATCTTGAAAAGCAAAGTGGTGTTATATGAATACCCTTTAGTTTAATATTGTAACCCTTAATCGGTCAGGTGTTTTGTTGAATAATTAAAATAACAAGATTTTTTATCTTAAATTATCAGTCTAATAAAACTTCCCCTAATTTTGCGTGAACTGCAAGGAAATTGCTCTGAACTAATGAAAATTATGAATTATAAAGCAATTTAAATGCATTTAATATTTCCTGGTACATGTGATAACTTGAAATCAAGTAAAAAAATATTCTGTAGTATATGTTTTCTATAATCAGATTTTAAAATGTGTAAGAAATATTTGTAATTAAAATGCCAGTAATTTAAAATAGGATTTCTAGTGTGTTTAATGTTTATGAAAAACTTTGTTAACGTAAGCAATTAAAATAATATCAATTGTAGCCATTTTCATAATTTACTTCACTCGAAGCATAGTCTTTGAATTTCTGAATGGAGTTTGAATGTATCGATTCTTTTATAGCCTGTGTTGAATGCATAATCAAGGAAAAAATGTGTCACTGATAATTAAGTCAAAATAACTTCCTAAAGTAGAAGAAAGTGAAATCAAGTTTAATAGTAATGGAGGAATTAACTTGTGCTCAATCCATCAGTGTAGAAGATTATCTTTGTTTTCACCAGAAATAATGCTTTATTTCAAAAACCCTTTATACTGGAGTTTTATGGAATCTTGTAACTGATGCTGTTTGGTAAAAATGGGGTAAATAGCTAGTTTTTATTTCATTACTGTATTGTACATCAATGATTCTCTACCCTGAATACAAATTAGAATCTCTTGGAGGAGCTTTAAACCTTGGTCACACCCCTGGAATATTCCGATTTAATAGGATCTGAGTATGGCATGTACCAGCTCCCTAAATGATTCTAATAAGTAGCCATGGTTAGGAAATATTCTTTTAAAACTTTAGTGCTTGGGTAGCCTTAATAATATGGTCATGATCAGTAACAAGACATCCTCAGCCACAGCTGCTAAATTTTCAGGACTAGATTAGACTCCACAAGACAGGAAATCTGCTGTACCTCCTTACCTTGAGATTCTATTTTGAATTAGTGGAAGAAAAGAATGGAGTCAAAGAGCTTCCATCAGGTTAGACATAATTTAGTATTAGGAGGTGCTAACATCATTAGAATTAGATTTTTTCAATTCCTGAGATGCATATATCAGGCAAGTGATATTGCATCCACTTTACAAATGTAGAAACTAAGGCTCAGCCATATTTTAAGTAATTTGCCCAAAATCATAGGCTAGTTCAGTTTAGGACTTGAATTCTGGTTTCTTGGTTAAATGAGTATGTAAGTAAAATTGGGCAAGTATTGGTATTATTTGTGTAGGATTTATATTATGTCAAATATATACATGACCTTTAAATCCAAACTGTAATAAGATTCTTTCCCACCAGGAACCTTTAACTTCTAATTTTGAAAACAAGTAGGCCTAATTAAAATACACTATCTTGGATTAAGTAGGTAATATTTATAATATTATGCATTAAGCCTCACTGGGAGTTTATATATTTCATTATCAGCACCAAACACACACACACACACACACCCTTTTTTTTTTCTTTAAAAAAAAAAAAAGATGACTGGTAAGGGAATCTTAACCCTTGACTTGGTGTTGTCAGCACCATGCTCTCCCAAGTGAGCCACGGGCCGGCCTCTATATACTTCATTAATATATGAAGCCAGGACATTTGAATCAGGTTTTGGAGGTTTGGGGAGGGTTTTGGTGGGTATTTTGTTTGGTTTTTTTTTTTTTTTGGTTTTGTTGAGTTTGGTTTTTTGTTTGTTTTTTTATAGTGAATATCTGATTCTCTGAAAACCTTAGTTACATTCATTGGTAATTTGAATATTGTCATGGAGCTTTTTAATGACTTTAATCAGCCAAACTGGAATCTTAATGACTTTTGACTCCTGGAATATGTATATTTTTTTAGTTGGGTGAAATAAAAGTCTTATTTCCCGTTTAAATATTTAAAACCACAAAATTTGGTCTTCTGCCAACTTACAGCACAGGTGACTTTTCCTAAGCATTGATAAATCTGTGAGTGAAGGCTTATACTAGGAATAGAAGTACAATGCCATATTGTAAGCAACTTCAGCAGTCTTGTTAGAGAATATGTATGTTTTTGTTGGTTTTAAAGGAAATCAGGTACTTGACAGTTCTAATAATGGTAGAGCAATACTAGGGAAAGGAACTTTTTATTTTATATTTTTTTCTGATCAAAGAGACCTTTCTTAACTCAATTGGAGGTAAATAGGTGTTTTTCTACAATGAGCAGCTTCCTGCTGCCTAATACTAAAATGATCAACACATAGGCCTGTCCTTGCAGCTGGTTTCCTATCTCAACAGAAAGAATGATTTTCTTTAATTGGACTCTAGTGCATTGCTACTGTCAGCTTTCCCATGTTTCTTACCAAGTATTATACGCTTCCCAGTCCTACTTTCTGCATACGGCCCTAATCTTCTCCCCTGGTCCTGTAACTCTTAAAAATCTTGATGAGTTTTATAATGGAAGCTAGTGGAAACAGGACATTCAAAGAACAGAATTTCATATGTTAAAGAATTTTAAAGATTTGAATTTGTGAATTTATGAAAGCTTATTTTAAAAATATCTTTATATGTACAAATATATAGATTATAAAAGCAAATATTTAAATACTTTAGTTTTATTAATATAAGCATATAGTTTCTTAGACCTGAAATTATTATCATTTCAGTAAATGCTATGTCTTTTTTTTTTTTTTTAAGGTACCAGTATTTTTTGCAAATTAAACAAGACATTCTGACTGGAAGGTGGGCTATTTTAAATTTTTTGTAATGGACTTTAAAAATACTTTTCTGTGTTACTTAAGTATTTCGTGATCATTGCAAAAAATTATTGGAAACGTTTACATGTAATATAAATTTCATTCATCAGATAAGTTCATTTCTTAACAGTTGCAGTTAAGTCACATAGAAACTTCAAGCGCGAATAGTATAACATAAATTATAGCAGTTTGAAAAATATTATATTTAACCTTGGGTTATGTATTTTGTTTTGTTTTATTAGATTGCCCTGTCCTTATAGTACTGCTGCCCTTTTAGCTTCATTTGCTGTCCAGTGTAAGTATCAGCCCACTTTTAGGTCAAATAGCGTAAGATTTTGTGGTCTGTGTTGATAGCACATTGCCTTAATGTGGGAGTTCTTTAGACATGTTACTGTACAGAAAATAGTGACTGCAGAGGAAATGTTATGAAACATCCAATTAGTTAGCAGTTACTTGGAGTTTTGAAAAAAATTTGTTAGAAATTGTTTGAGCCCTGGAAGAATGTTAAGTGAATTGTTACAACTTGTTTAGAAATGTATAAATATTTTACTACAAGAAATATATAATGGAATTAATGACATTGCCAATTTGGCTATAATAATTGAAAATTTTGTTTATTAAAGTGTGAATATTTTCCTTCAATTATTAGCTGAACTTGGAGACTACAATCAGTCGGAGAACTTGCCAGGCTACCTCTCAGATTATTCTTTCATTCCTAATCAACCTCATGATTTTGAAAAAGAAATTGCAAAATTACATCAGCAACACATGTAAGGATTTATTTAGTTTTCTACTTATTTGGTAAACTTCTTAGTGGCATTCTTTCTAGAGAAATGTTTCAAATTGTTTCTAATTTGATTATTGTAATTACTTAATATAGAACAGTTACTATTTTGTAAAATAATATGACTATTGTAAAAAAATGCAGGTGATCAATATTAAAAATAATCATTGCTTATTTCATAGAATATATGAGGCTTTTTTTTGCTTCTGCTAAGAACCATAAAGCTGTAAATAGAAATGTATTTTACTGTTACATAAAGTCAGTTATTTAAGAAGGAATTTAGAATATTAATAATATATTCACAATATACAGACAACTGTACTTAGGAATTCTTTCTCAGTTTTTAAGTATATGAAAGGAGTCAATTCTGTTTGGTAATGAGCCAAGAGAAGAAAAGGAACTTTATGTAATACTAAATTAATAAAAAATATTTCTTTAAAACAAGTAGCACTTTTTTCATTCATAACAATATTCAACTTTGATTTTTCGAGTCTAATTTTCTGTGACATAATTTTTTTCAAGAAGGGATTTGTTGCTTTGAATAGAAAGTAATATTGTTTATCAGTTGAGAATTCAGTTTTGCTTTAACATGCAGTTTAGAATACTCATGGAGGAATTAAGGCAGTATTGCATATTGGCTAAGAGTCTGAACCAAAGAGCCAGACTGCCTTGTTTGAAATTCTGGTGAGACTGCTTTGCTTTATGTCTTTGCTTCTCTGTTTCCTTATATGTAAACTCAGGATAATAAAATTATCTATCTGTGGAATTACCATAAGTTTTAATGCACAAAGCTTCCAGAATTGTGCCTAGCACATGTTAGGCACTGAAGAAATATTGGCTTATTATTAAGAAAACTTACTTTCATTCGGTAAGGTAATGGACCATGTATCTAAAATAGGATGGCAAATTACAACTCACTTCCTATTTTTGTATGGCCCATGGGCTCACAGTGGTTCGTATGTTTAAAATAGTTGAAAAATTCAGAATAACATGTGGCATTTGAAATTTTATGAAATTCAGTATCCATGTAAACACTTATCAGAACACAGATACCTCACTTGTTTATATGTTGTCTGTGGGTGCTTTCAGACAATGGCAGAGTTAAGTAGTTGCCACAGAGACCATATGGTCTGAAAGCCTAAAATATTTACTGTCTAGCCCATTCCAGTAAAAAGTTTGCTGACCCCCGATCTGAAAGAGACTAATGACTGAGAATTTTAATAGACTGGCTTAATGTGGTAAGAGGACTATTTTGGTCCAAAAGTAAATCCCATTTATGATGAAAGTTCTACATGTAGAATATCTGGATGAAGGGTTTGAAGATAAAACAGCTTTTAAAAATTTACCGATAATGAAATGTCTCTTCTACAAGGAAAAAGTTTGTACATTTAACAAGGTGCTTATTTTATATTTCTATTTGTTTTAAAGAACTGATTCATCAAATCTTTAAACAAAGAAAAATATAGAATCATAAAATTTAACTGGGGAGAGTAGTAGTTAACTTAATGGAATTTTGTAGAAAAGGGAAGTATATCTGCTTTTTTGAGTCACATTTGTTATGATCATGCATTGGCAGGCTGTTGGCTACTTTTTCTAATATTATTAGTGAATGAAAGGTTGATATCTTCGCTTTTGTAATTTGCTGTTTTTGCTTTGCTGTAGTCTGATACTATCAAATAACTAAGGTTGTTCACTGCTTTTTTGAGTCACATTTGTTATGATCATGCATTGGCAGGCTGTTGGCTACTTTTTCTAGTATTATTAGTGAATGAAAGGTTGATATCTTCGCTTTTGTAATTTGCTGTTTTTGCTTTGCTGTAGTCTGATACTATCAAATAACTAAGGTTGTTCGAACTGTATATTAAATAGTAAACCTATTTTTAAATCTGCATTTAGAGCAGTGGTTTTCAAACTTGTGTTCATAAGAATCACTTGGGATACTTGTTAAATATAAACAGTTTGGACATCATCCCTTCTTCATCACACTGTATAGAACAGTATTTCTGAAACCAGTTCTTCCTCCAATCTGTCATTATATTATTTATAATATATTTTGAAAAATATAATGAAAATGAAAATAACAGAGAAATAATGGAGAAATAAAGGCATAAAAAAACAACTCATTTTTTTACTGTTAGATTCAATGGACATAAAATTACTCTTCCAGATTGCTATAAAAGTCTCTGACACTCAATTTCTGTACTTGTGAATCAACACCTGTCTGTTCACCACACTCAGAAGCACTGCTCTGTAGGTTGCCTTAGAATGTGCATGTTTCAAAAGCACCCTGTGTGATTTAAATGCAAATATTGTATGTGAACAAAGTTTTGACAAATACTGCTTTAAAGTTATATCTATAAGTGAGTGGCTTTGTTAAAGTTATAAGAATAATTAGGGACTTTTAAAACTTGCTGTATTCTTGTATTTCTGGAAAATAAGAAAATATTTCAGAAAATAATAATTTGGGTTACCGAGCACATGTCCTCGAGATAAGTTAGATGTTAGTATGCAGAACTAAGAGGAGCAGTTCTGCAAGGTGTTTTGTAAACAATTGAATGAAATTGCCCAAATTTTTCCAGATAAACAGCCTTTTTCTAATTTGACCGTATTTGTGATTGATCTAATTTTTAACCTAACGCTGTCTTTACAGAGGCTTATCTCCTGCAGAAGCAGAATTTAATTACCTAAACACAGCACGTACCTTAGAACTCTATGGAGTTGAATTCCACTATGCAAGGGTAAGTGAAGAAAACTTATTTTGATGTTATGGAGTTAGGCTCCATTTCTCAGTATCAAATTTTTTTAATACCTTGATAGTATTAGGTAACAAATGGAACAACTTGTGATTGCTGCCAACATAGTCACACTGAAAATTTTCTCTGCATATAAGCATTTTCACGATAATTTGACATTTAATACCTGATGAAAAGGATAGTTAAAGTAGATTCTTCATGTTATTTTTCTTCAAGGTAGTGTTTTATGTGATAAAAATAATTTTTACAGACCTTAAGAGATTGTATCTTTAGAATATTATTTTACAAAATAAAGGTTAAGTTATAGGGGAAGTAGTTTTTTCTATACTTTCATGGTAATCATGATTATGAAAAATGTTCTCATGTCACTGAGGCCTGTATTACTGTACTTATTTTATTTTTGTCGTTTAGTTTCATCATTATAAATTTTTATATGTAAAATACAAAATGAAGCATATTAATATATATTTTACTTTTATCTCCCCCCATCCCTTTATTAAAATGAAATTTATAATCACTGGCTTTTCCTGTATAATACTCTATAACTTCTTTTTCCTTGTGTCAAACTTTGCTGCCTTCAGAAGACTGTTACCCTCCTGCCATAAGCATATGAGGATACTTCAAAAAGTTCATGGAATGATCCATATTATCTTTTAATTCTGTTTTTTCACAAACTTTTTGAAGTACCCTCCTATTTGTGTGCCTCTTCACCTATATTTCTTCTCATGATTTCTTTATAAAGAGGTTATATTCTTTAGAAGTATATGGACTACAGCTGTTCTCCATAACCAGTGAAAAGTGGAGTTACAGATAATCATTGAGTTGGAGATAGGGTTTATATTCTCTTGGGACAGATTGTTGAGCCTAATCAGGATATAGGTCTGAAAGGGATTTAAGAGCGAGGGGCCGGCCCGGTGGCGCACTGCTACAGTGCGCCGCTTGGGAGCACGGCGGCGCTCCCGCCGAGGGTTCGGATCCCACATACAGACCGGTTCCCGCTCACTGGCTGAGCGAGGTGCGGGCGCGACACCGAGGGTTGCGATCCCGTTGCCGGTCCCGGTCCGGTACGGGCGCGACACTGAGGGTTGCGATCCGTTGCCGGACACGAAAAAAGACAAAAAGGAAAAAAAAAAATAAGAGCGAAGATTTTTCTTATCTAATTGTTTTGAACTTATTTTAATACACAGACACACAATGATAAACAGACAGTTGTTTAGGTACTCAAAATTCTATTACTTTTAATGGTTTTATCCCTTAGGGCCTCATCTGACCATGTTCTAGGAAAGGAGCTTTAATGCTTGTTTCACAAAGCTATGTCAATCTTTTTGAAAAACTAATGACTTGCTTTTCTCAAGTGTTCATATCTTGTAATTCTGAGTGTTTGTGGCTTGGAAATGTTTGTCTGATTTCATTTTAAATGTATGGGTAAGTCTCTCTTGAACTTTTTGCTTTCTTTAAAATATGTCCTTTTATTCTACTTTCCTATTTTGAGCCTATTACTTTTGAACACGATTCTTCCAAATGTAACATAGTGGTCAGTATTTGTGCATAGATTTTGGTTTTTATTATAATAAAGTTTAAAACTGATGGGACTTTAAATATGTGAATTAAACTATGGTTAAAAATAAAAAGACCACCAAAATCAGTCATTTTAGTTTTTAGCAATTTTCAGTTATATCTGAAGGAATTGCTGTCAATGAAATACAAAGAGTATTAGATTTTCTTTTTTTATTTAAATGGCAAGTGTAGATCTCATACATAATTAACCATATTGTTATTTGTTGATTTAAGGTAGTTTTTTTGTTTGTTTAAATTATTAGATTATAAAACTATTTTTCAGAAAGCCCTAAATGTAGAGTACCAGATTAAAGGAATTTAAATTTTAAATAAGTTTTAAATGGTCAAAGCTATTTAGAAACATATTTTGTAAAAAAAAACCTAAATGTAGAGTACCAGATTAAAGGAATTTAAATTTTAAATAAGTTTTAAATGGTCAAAGTTATTTAGAAACATATTTTGTAAAAAAAAAAAGACCAAGAAAGGATGTTTTTCTTTTATGTGGATACTGAGAAGAGAATGTGCAAATGTGCAGTGAACATGAAGGGAAATTTTGTAGCATAAAGAACAAAAAGACAAAAGGTAGATGAGGAAGGATACAAAAAGAAAACTTAAGTTTTAATTGAATATCAAAAGCAAAAGTGTATCTGAATAATATTTTATTTTGAAAAACAAGGTATGATATTTTATCTCTTCCCTCAGAGTATAGGTTGATACAAATAAGTGTTAAAGCATTCATTGTGGTGGATCTCTTATGTGCCTTGCACACCATTGGCACCAAGGATTACTTAATGAACAAAACATTAATTACCCTGCCCTCATGGAGCTCACAGGATAGTGGGGAAGAAAGAAATGGGACATATATCAACGATTAAATATGTGAGGATATGAAGGGAAAAGTACAGAATGCTATGGGATCATATGGCAGGAACTTCTAGGAACAGAAGGTAGGGTAGGAAAGGCTTCTTAGAAGAAGTGATATATTACCAAAGCCAGAAGAATGAACAAGAATTAGCCAAGAGAATGATTTTTACCGTAGAGCTGTCAGCATGAATGAAAACCTGAAATTAAGAACGTGGCATGTTTGAAAAAATGAAAACATTTAGTATGGCTAAAAGATTATACAATAAGGGAATAGGGTATTGTAGAAAGGTAAAAATGAGTGGCAACTTCAAGATAAAAAAGAAAGGAAAAAAATTTTTCATAGGGTGGGAGCAGAGGAATATGGTTTTCAGTTCTGTGAGTTTTAACACAGGTGTGGATTCATGTAACCACTACCACAGTCAGAAAACAGAGCAATGTCATCGCCTGAAAAAACCCATGCTTACGCTGCGTCTTGGTAGTCAAACATTCCCCTCACCTCTAATTCCTGGCAACCATCAATCTATTCTCTGATGCTGTGGTTTTCTGTTTTCCAAAATGTCTTATAAATGGAATTCTATAGAACGTAACCTTTTCAGATGGGCTTCTTTCACTTACAACAATACATTGGAGATTTATCCAAGTTATTGTTTTTTTCAGTAGTTCATTTCTTTTTATTGCTAAGTAGTTTTCCATTGTGTGGATGTACCGTGGTTTGCTTATCCACTTATCCTTTGAAGGACATCTGAGTTTTTTCCAGTTTTGTAGTGGTGGTTTGTTGCTGTTTAATTAATAACGCTACTACAAACATTCATGCACAGGTTTTTGTGTGAATTGAAGTTTTTATTCCCTAGGGTAAATCCCCCAGAATAAGATTGCTGGGTCATATGGTAAGTGTATGTTTAACTTTATGCAAAACTGCTAGACTTTGTTGTACCACTGATGTTGGCAAGCTCCAATTGTTCCACATTCTTTCCAGCACGTTATTGTCACTTTTGTTTCTTTTTAAGCTTTTTTAATAGGTGTGTTTTATTTTGTCATAGCATTTCCCTAATGACTGGTATTGTTGAGCGTTATATCTTCTTTGATTATTCTCTGTTTTGCCTATTTTTAATTTGGTTGTTCCTTTACTCATTGTTGAGTTTTGAGAGCTCTTTATGTATTATAGACACAAGTTTTTTGTTGGATATGTGATTTGCAAATATTTTATCCCAGTCTTTAGTGTTCCCTTTTATTCTATTAACAATGTCTTTCAAAAAGCAAAAGAAAGTGGTAGATTCTAATATCTCTTATTTAATCACAGATAGAACAGGTAGTCAGAAAATCAGCAAGATATAGAAGATTTTAACAATGTGAGGGTACCCCAGAAAGTTTGTGGAAAAGTGGAATTGAAAGATAATGCAAATCTTTTCATGAACTTTTTGAAGTACCCTTGTACAGTCAACAAGTTTGACTTAGTTGATCTATGTAGAATACTAAAAGTATACCTAACAACTTCAGATTACACATTCTTTTCAAACACACAGAATATAATTCTTTTTTTTTTTTTTTTTTTTTTTTTGGTGGCTGGCCAATATGGGGATCCAAACCCTTGACCTGGGTGTCATAACATTGTGCTCTAACCAACTGAGCTAAAACAGAATATAATTTCTGACCACAGTGCAGTTAAACTAAAAATAATAACAAAAAGATAACTTTACAAATCCTCTAAATATTTAGACATTAAGAAATATATTTCTAAATAAACTATGGGTCAAATATTTCATTGTTTCTAACCAACACTCTCTTTACTTTGTTCTGAGAACACTCACCAAGAAAGAATGACAATTAGTTACATCTAAGTTTGTCATTAAAATCGATTAAAATAATGTTTGTCAAAGTAATCTGAAAGATATAAAATATTTTGAAGTTATTAAGTTAATACCGAGGAACATTATGGGAGCTACATTTAATTTTTTGTAAAGAATTTCTGATCTCTTAAAAGGGAAAAGGCATTATCTCAGGAGTAATTGCTGGCCTGATTAAAGTATCTTATTTGTTAAATGAATGGTTTGATGGCTCACCATCTTCTTTACTAGAGTAACTCTCATCTTTACTAGAAAATAAGTCAGTCAGTAACTATTTATTATATTGCAAAAATAGAATACAAGAAAATAATGGACCTATGAGAGATTCTGTGGATCCTCAAATTTGTTCTCTCTTATATAAGAAGGTTTGTATAATATTAACTGTGTTTGCCTATGAAACTTTGTTTCCTAGTTATCTAAATGTAAATGTAATCACAAAATGCTTGGCTTTAAATTTTTAGGTAGGTATGTAATGTTCTAAATTAACCCTAAAACCATTCTAACAAGTTTTAGGCTTAATTGTTAATATCTTATTTCCATAGGTATTTGTAATAGTGATGAAGATAATTCTACTGAAAGATAACTTTTGCCCTTCAAAGTTTCAAGAAAAGGAAAGCTTAATGATGCTATTTCAATTATTCATTCATTCAATGAATATTTATTGAGCACCTACTGTGTTCCAAGTCCCATTTATAGACATCGTGGATACAGCAGTGAGTA